CCTCAAACTCAAGGATGGGTCACTATGGGTTGGGATCGACTTGATGGTAGTGATTTTTTTTTTTTTTTTAAATAAATATTTCTACATGTAATCATCTGTATCTCTATGAAGCTAAACATAAGTGCTTTTTACTTTAAGTGCAATTTTACTATAGTTATAACACAACCAATGGGAAGAATAGAATTTTAGATAAAAGAGAAAAAAAAGGACTCCTTAGAAGTACACATTATTAAAATATTTCTGATCAGTTTTGTAAAAGAAAATTTATGTAAAATAATTAACATTTTAAAATGTGTAATATTTTTGTTTCTAATGCTTAAGTAAAGCTTTACAAAAATATCAGAGATATTTTTAATTTAAAATAATAGAAAGGCCATAACATAAATTTGATAGGTTTTTGTCATTTAAAATATATCTGACATAAAAAAAATAAGATAAAAGTCTTGCTAAAACTTTTGCTTCATCCTTTCTCATGCTTGAAGGAAATACTAATCCTTCACTTGGAATTGTAAGTATTAAATGTTATAATGTATGTAAAGCACTTAGCACAGTGACTGGCTGTAATAAATGCTCAATTAAATTATCTATTGTTATTCTCATTATTTTATTAAAGAGTAGCAGATTCTGAGACACCACTTTTTATGGAAATTTTGACTTCACATGGCTTAATGCTAATGCCTTTTCCACATTTTAAAGGAAAAGCTTACCTCCTGCAAATGAGACTCCTTTTTCTTTGCAGATAAATTTAAATGCTTGTCAAGAATAGAATAGTATTTTTCACTCTCCTTGTCAAATTTCTTCTTTCCATCCTAGGGAACAAGTTAACAATAATAATGATAATAATAATAATAATACAAGGTTCATACCAGAGCATCAAGAAAACCTTGATTTTCATCATCCCACAAAAGATCTTTAAAAGTATTTAATAAAGATTGAGTTCCAACTATGTACAAAGCCTTTATAGAGTAGGAAGGAGGACGTGAAACAAAAGTCATTTGAATATGTGTTCTGCTCTCGAAGAACCTTTCCATCTTTTTTGGGGAAAAAAAAACACATGTCTATATAAATGATGGTCTTTCTCCTTTGAAGCACATGTAACTGTAATATGGGAACAGCCACACTGGCTATAGCAGAATCCCTTGGAGAGCTTTATAAGTGATTCCCAACAAAGGGATTTGATCTAGCAAGTCTGGGATGGGACCAAGAGAAAGCGTCTTTTAAAATGCATTTTGGTAATTCAGATGAGTTAACATACAGCTAGTTCAGAGACCCACTCATATAGACTCTTTGTCAAGGAATCATTATTTTCCAGTTACATAAAGACCATACTATTTCAAACAACTTGTTCTTGATAGGGAGGAAAACAGACTTCTAAATGCTAAAATTGATTAGGACAATTCAAAATAAAAAAATCAAAATAATTATCAATATTTGTATTAGTTATAACTCTAATAGGTGACCTTTGTTTATGACTAAAATGATGGCATTTTGGAGAGGGCGAGGTAGCTGTAAACAGGCTGGAGTTTTAGTGAGGGTGAGGAGAGGCAAGGGATAACTTTACCTTTCATTCTATGGCATGTTTCTACAGAAATTCAAACGGAACAAAATACTGAAAGGAACAGAGCATGCCTGGGCATATATTCCTCTCCAAGTATAAATATTTTATCCATCAGGTATGCCTTTTCTTTTTATGAGTCCACATAAAACAAATACTAGATAACTACAGTTGTAAATTTCATTGGTCAAAGAATTACTACGCCCTCCCTTTGTTTCAGTGATTTTAGAAAGTGTAAACTCTGAAGTCCCAGTCTCAGAGTCAAGTCTTTATAAGCTGGTTCAAAAATGTAGAATTCTATCTTCCCCCCTCCAGAGATTTACACATTCTTATTTTAAACAAGCTCTATAATTAGTATGCATACTGCTTTACTTCATTACATGCCTAAATGCTTAAAAATTATAGATAGATACATAGATAGTGGATAGTGGATGGATAGATGAAAAAGAGGGAAGGAAGAAGTGAAGGAAGGACAAAATGAATGAAGGAAGTGACAACCCCTTGCCTAGAAGGTCTTTCCTAGTATTTTGAGGTCGTCAGATTCCTATTAATATATCCAAGTAATGCTATTTTGATCCACTGACACTCTGAACTATCAATTATACTTTCAGGAATACATCATGATCTAGTTCCATATATGGAATTTCAGAAACTGAACTGGTATGAATAAATTGAATGGGGAGAGCAAGTCAGATTTTTCTTTAAGAGCTCAAGTCACTTTTAGACCATTTAAAATATACTGGTACATTTGTACATTAAAGTATTACATCTGTGAATAAGGGGAAAAATGTCAAAATCCTCAAAGGCCTTTTATTATCCAAGGAGAAAACATGGTCCTACTAAGGAGAAACAACTGGAAAATGAGCATAGCATTCCTGTCCGGAACAGAGCTGCTGAGGAAGGAACTCCCATAACAAAACGTGGACGAACAGACACAAAAGCCAACAGAAGCTCAAGATTCAGAATGGGAGGAGTTTGTCTCCTCCACTACCGAAGTCGGGTGGACCTTGCTCAGTGGATTTTACGGTTGAATCTGGAAATTCATGTCTACCACTGATTAGCCAAACTTACTTTTCCTTAAGTCTTTCTCACCAGCTTCTTTTGAGTTAAGGATTCACACTTCCCCCACCCCACCCCTGCTCTCTCTATGTTGTTCCCTCTGATAAAAATGCTTGTTTCCTCCAACTTCCACTTATGTCAGTGGGGGATTATAAGCATTCAAATTGCATCTGTTTTTAGCATCCAGACCAAACAGACTTCATTCACAAGCACCTACCATCAACTCTCTCCCTTCTGAGGACTCATGTAGCTTTATTGAAAGGTCTTTTATGGTGTTTATGCTCAACACTGTGGCAGAGAAATTTATGTATATACTCATTCTCCTTAAAATTCAATACCTAGTGAGTGCTCAATAAATATTTAATGAACAAATGAAATTCTTCCTCTTATAACACTGGCACCACAGCCCTCAAAGAATATATTTGTTCGACAAACCAATATCCATGGTACAAGGGATAATTCTGCAAAACTGGCCTTAACTCAAACACAATAGTACATGAACACTTAGGGACAACCAGCTGCATTACTGAGCAGTACATAAAACTCACTCCCTTTCATCTTACAACAGAGGTTTAACATTTCTCACTGTGCACAGAAGAAGAAACTGGTTTAAGAAGAAGAAAGAACACAGCTGTGGTGATTACACACATAACTTTGTTTTCAGTTAGTGTTTGATGGCATTTTTGGAAATGTTAATTCAGTGCCAATACATCAGCATTTTTGGCAATACAAAAATCATTCCCAGAAGCACTTCCTGGACTTTTATTCAAACTCTGGTCCTTCACACCAGCAAGCCAGCAAAAACATCTACTCAAAGGTTCTACTAATGTGGACAACAAAAACACACTCAGTTCTAGCATTAAATTAAAGAACTGAGCTAAAAGACTAGACCACATGAAGGATAACTATAATCTAGGGAAGCATGTTCTAGAAAATAATAGGCACTTCTACTTTAAACTCACATTTCCCATGATTTACTGCTGATAGAGGAGCTCTGGTAGCGTAGTGCCTAAGGCACTTGACTGCGAACCAGAAGGCTAGCGGTTCAAACCCACCAGCCGCTCCTCGGAAGGAAGGTTGGGAAATTTACTTCCATAGTGATACCGTCTCAGAAACCCAAGGAGGGGTTGCTATGATTCAGGTCTTACTGGACAGCACATAACGACAACATAACAACTGCTGGTAGAAGTTTAAGCTTAATTGGCCTCAGTAACTTAATACCATATCTCTTTTCTCTTCTGTTACTTACATGAAGCTAAGAATTTTTTTGAAACCAATCCTGAGGGAAGGAAAATAATAATTTATGAATCTGTACTAAATGCTGTGACTGATCACTGTCTTCCTATTGTCATGGCATGATTCAAAAGGGAGACTACATGTTATAATTTATTTCCCCCCTGAAAATCCATAGTAAATGCATTTGAATTAATCAATTAAAATAAACTCAAATTGATATAATCATAATTATGGAAATAAGCAGAGGAATGAGGTAGAAAGGGAATGTCATACAAGATACACGGCACATTACAGTAGTACTTGTTCAGTATGGTACTAGTTGTAGTTACACACCTTTGAGGACAAAGACAGATTGACAGAGAGAGAGAGAGAAAGAAGCAGGCAGAGCCCAACTGTATAAAATAAATCATCAAAAAATGCAAATTAGTCCCCAAATCCTATGACAGCTGACAAGAGAGGTAAGGATGTTCCCAGTCTACAATCAGTTTGTTTTGAAACTACAATGCATTCACACTGAGCATGGTGATCACATTCTCTATCACCTAGCTTCCAGGATTAGCTTCTTAGGCCTGCCACACCTTCATAGTACATACTCCAGTGAGGAAAACACCTTCATGGTACATACTGCAGTGAGGAAAACCATTACAGCTCCCACTCCAAGTGTTAACTTTATTCTTGAAATTGCTGTTCAAGTATATCAAGCAGATAAAAAAAAAAAAAGAAATTAAAATGCACACTTGTTCAAAATAAGGCCAAACTGAACAATGCCTCCACTGACCACAAGAGGGTACCAAAGACGAGAAAGAGTCTCTACTACAATATTTAGAAAATCATAACTAGGAAGAAATTCTCAAAAATGTTATCTATTCACAATTTTTTTTCTATAAAAGACTACTACAAAGCATGTTTAAACAACATTTATTTTGATCTTTCTTCTAACATTACTATGCTATAAATCTTAAAAAAATTGAACAAGTGAATAAGTAAGCTTTGCATTTCTTTTAAAATATGGAATATATACTTAGAATTTTTGCATTATATTTTTAAACAGTTTCAATGTTATAATTGCCACACAGGATACTGCAGAACTTCTCATGAAACTATTTATATCATCATATTAGTATAACCATTCTTTATGCAAGCACTACTTGGGTATTTCAAAAAGTTCTTCAACAAATAGCTATGGAAAACAGTATACACTAATAGCTAAATTTCTATTTCAAAACTGTGGGGAAATTCTTAAAAATTGGCATAGTGACAGGCACTGAAACAACAGAACTAGATGTAAGATGTAGCCCAAACCACCACCCTGGTTGAATATCTTCCTCTCATGATGGATTCACCACCTGTTTACAATGGGCACCTCAGGCTGGCATCACCCCTTCCAGAGGGTCAATTGGTTGGGCATTTGATACATGCTGCTTAGGGATTTCCTGAGGCCTAAGGAATTCCTGGTATCCAGAGACCCAGTTTTTTTGGAGAATCTCATTGTAGCTTGCTCATCAATATCCTTCCCTGTGGGTTGATTTCACAAAATAATTCTAACCTCCCCAGCCTGTTGTTATTGTTGTTATATGCCATGGAGTTGGACTCAACTCATAGCGATCCCTCCTTGGGTTTCCGAGGCAGTATCACTACATAAGTAGATTGCCCAATCTTCCTCCTGAGGAGTGGCTGGTGGGTTTGAACTGCCAGCCTTCTGGTTAGCAGTCAAGTGCCTTAGGCACTACACTATCAGGCCTCTCCAGCCTATGGCCCACCAATTATCCCCTCCTGCTACCACATACTCTGCTGAAATACAGACATTCCAAAGAGGCTCCCTTTCTGGTTGATTGGAAGGCATAATTCAACCCAGCATAATTCATGCCATCTCCCTCTTTCTCCATACCACTACCATAAGGTGATAAGATTCATAAGAACTAAATAATTCATATTTGCATTTATAAGGAGCTCCTATAA